CTATGCCAAACAATGGCATATACAAAATTACATTCAAATCAGAGGCATATGCACAAACCGTGGGAACAATCTATGCCAAACAATGGCATCTGCAAAGAATCTTCAAATCAGAGCCATATGCACAAATCGTCGGAACTAACTATGCCGAACAATGGCATCTGCGCAGAACATTCAAATCAGAGGCATATGCACAAACCGTGGGAACAAACAATGCCAAAAAAATGGCATCTGCGAAATTTCATTCAAATCAGAGGCATATGCACAAACCGTTGGATCAAACTATGCCAAACAATGGTATCTGCAAAGAACATTCAAATAAGAGGCATATGCACAAATCGTGGGAACAAACTATGCCAAACAATGGCATCTGCAAAGTACATTCAAATCAATGGCATCTGCGAAGAACATTTAATTCAGAGGCATATGCACAAACCGTGGGAACAATCTATGCCAAACAATGGCATCTGCGGAGAACATTCAATTCAGAGGCATATGCACAAACCGTGGGAACAAATTCTGCCAAACAATAGCATCTGCGAAGAACATTCAATTCAGAGGCATATGCACAAACCGTGGGAACAAACTATGCCAAACAATGGCATATGCGAAATTACATTCAAATCAGAGGCATATGCACAAACCGTGGGAACACACTATGCCAAACAATGGCATCTGCGAAGAACATTCAATTCAGAGGCATATGCACAAACCGTGGGAACAAACTATGCCAAACAATGGCATATGCGAAATTACATTCAAATCAGAGGCATATGCACAAACCGTGGGAACACACTATGCCAAACAATGGCATCTGCAAAGAATATTCAAATCAGAGTCATATGCACAAATCGTCGGAACTAACTATGCCGAACAATGGCATCTGCGGAGAACGTTCAAATCAGAGGCATATGCACAAACCGTGGGAACAAACTATGCCAAAAAATGGCATCTGCGAAGGTCTTTCAAATCAGAGGCATATATTCAAACCTCTTGATAACAAAATCTTGCTTCAAACAATGGCATATGCGAAATTACATTCAAATCAGAGGCATATGCAAAAATCTTGGGGAACAAAGTTGACAAACAATGGCATCATCCAAAAACATTCAAATCAGAGGCATATGATGAGCCGGGGAACAAACATTACCAAACAATGGCATCTCGAAATTACATTCAAATCAGTGGCATATGCACAAAGTCTGGGAACCTTCAAAGACAAACAATGGCATATTCAAAGAACATTCAAATCAGAGTCCATATGCACAAATCGTCGGAACTAACTATGCCAAACAATGGCAGTCCCCTGTCTACATTCAAATCAGAGGCATATGCACAAACCAGTTGCCTCTTGAATATACAAAATGCCAAACAATGGCATATGCGAAATTACATTCAAATCAGAGGCATATTCACAAACAGTGAAACGTGTTATGGCAAACAATGGCATCTGTAAAGAACATTCAAATAAAGGCACTTTTATGCACAAATCTCCGGAATTATCTGAACAAACAATGGCATCTGCTGGAGAACGTTCAAATCAGAGGCATATATTGCAAACTTTTTTTTCAAATAAACTATGAAAAAAATGGCATCTGCGAAATTACATTCAAATCTTCCAGGCATATGCATAAACTCAATGGGCACAAACTATTCCAAACAATGGCATTTTCAAAAACATTCAAATCATACATATTTTTACAATTTCGTAGGAACAAACTAAGCCAAACAATGGCATCTGCAAACAACATTCAAATCAGAGACCTATGCACAAATCGTCGGAACTAATTATGCCGAACAATGGCATCTGCGAAGAAGATTCAAATCAGAGGCATCAAAAAAAACCAGGGGAACAAACTATGCCGAAAAATGGCATTGCTGAAATTACATTCAAATCAGAGGCATATGCTTTATTTGAAACAAACTCTGCCAAACAATGGCAATGCGAAAACTTTCAAATCAGAGGCATATGCGGTTTTTGGGAACAAACTATCTATAAACAATGGCATATACAAAATTACATTCAAATCAGAGGCATATAAACAAACCGTGGGAACAATCTTTGCCAAACAATGGCATCTGCAAAGAATTTCTTCAAATCAGAGCCACTGGATGCAAATCGTCGGAACTTCTTGCCGAACAATGGCATCTGCGGAGAACATTCAAATCAAAGGCATATGCAAACCGTGGGAACAAACAATGGAAAAAATGGCATCTGCGACTTTTTCATTCAAATGCGACCATATGCATTCCGTTGGATCAAACTATGCAAAACAATGGCATATGCAAAGACCATTCAAATAAGAGGCATATGCACAAATCGTGGGCACAAACCATCCCAAACAATGGCATCTGCAAAGTACATTCAAATCAATGGCATCTGAGAAGAACATTTAATTCAGAGGCATATGCCTCAATTGATTGGGAACAATCTATGCCAAACAATGGCATCTCCTAGATGATTCAATTCAGAGGCATATGCACAAACCGTGGGAACAAATTCTGCCAAACAATAGCATCTGCGAAGAACATTCAATTCAGAGGCATATCCGTATCAAATCCATGGGAACAAACTCTGTCAAACAATGGCATATGCGAAATTACATTCAAATCAGAGGAATATGGACAAACATCTATTGGGAACACACTATGCCAAACAATGGCATCTGCCAAGAACATTCAAATATGCACAAGCCGTGGGAACAATCTATGCAAAATAATGGGATATTCAATGTACATTCAAATCAGAGGTATATGCACAAATCGTGGTCACAATCTATGCAAATAAATGGCATCTGTGGAGAACATTCAATTCAGAGTCATATGCACAAACCGTTGTCACAATCTATGCAAAATAATAGGATATGCAAAGGACATTCAATTCAGAGTCATATGCACAAGCCGTGGGAATAATGTATGCGTAACAATGGCATCTGCGGAGAACATTCAAATAAGAGGCATATGCACAAACCGTAGTCAGAATCTATACAAAACAATGGCAACTGCGAAATTACATTCAAATCAGAGACATATGCACAAACCCTGGGAACAAACTATGCCAAACTATGGCATCTGCGAATAACATTCAATTCAGAGGCATATGCACACACCATGGAAACAAACTCTGCCAAACAATGGCATCTGCGAAGAACTTTAAATCATAGGCATATGCACAAACCGTGGGAACAAACTATGCCAAACAATGGCATATGCGAAATTACATTCAAATCAGAGGCATATGCACAAACCGTGGGAACAAACTATGCCAAACAATGGCCTCTGCGAAGAACATTCAAATCAGAGGCATATGCACAAACCGTTGGGAACACACTATGCAAACAATGGTATATGCATAAAAATTTACAATATAAAATTTACAATACTGCACAAGGTTCTCTGAATCATTTTCAAAGAATTGATACAATGTTCGAAGCAAAGTTTGTGGTAACTGCGAAGAACAACTCAATTACACCAGCTGAAGAAATTTCTTTGATATGCAAGCGACATTGATGCTCTTTCAATTCCCGTCTTGTGTTCGTCAAATTACTTCTGTGTTGTTTTGAAATTTGATCAGGCCGACCTGGGTTTATGCAACAACTTTTGGTCGTCTCCATGAATTCAATTTTGTTTCTACTTTTATTCATCATGTTAGGCTCCAGGTTCGCTTCTCGGAATTTGGAAGGAAACCTTTTGTTTTTTTCCGAATGTAAACCAAACGCAGCTATTTTCCCACAAATCGAAATGTACCAAAATATTTTTGAAATCCAAAACTGTAAGCAAGAACCCAACACAGCGTCTGTTCTATCTAAAACAAAAAACAGACGATACACGATCAAGCAGCTGAATTTTGCCAAATAATGGTCGTCGCTTTTACAAGAAACCGTAGAGTAAACCTGAAAGATTGTAAAATGTTGGAAAAATATTTCTAACTTTTCAGTGAATTGAAGTGAAAATATTGTGGAACATGAATATGAGGATTGTGCTTATTATAATATGAGGATCTCGAACAATTCCGAAGAGTCTTGCAAAGAGATTAAAATAAATTTTAGGATTAATCAGAATTATTCAGCAGACATTTCTAAAATCAACTGGAATATTGAGCAGAATGTTGGCGTAGTAAGAAGACCTGTTGTCACTTGATCTCCTTTGAAATCTACTGTTGGTGGTAAGAAGTTTAAAGACAGGAAAGAATATTACTCTTGGGAATATAAATGAAGGCAAGTTATTCAGAGTCTGATTCGTTCTAAGTTCTTTTTATACGAAATGTTTTCTCTCTTCTCCAACAATCACCATAAGAAGAAAAGAGTAACAAAAGACAATGAAATATTTAACATTGAATTAATTACTGACATTTTTTCATTAATATCATAATAATGCTATATTCTTGGTCTGTGAATTAATTACTACAAAATCAGAAATGTTATTAAAAGAAAAGGTTGGAGATGAATAAGATCTTGAAATGTTATCTATTCACCTATGAGTGGAGATTAGTGAAGAAATAAAAGTTGATATGTCTCACAATGATGGTCCTTCATAACTGATAAAAATACAGATGGAAATTTTAAAGTTAAAATAAGATTATTTTCAACTCATGAGAAAAGTATATTTTAAAGACAATAATATTTATATAACAATCGTAATGTTTTAGTAATATTCTTCTCTTAGTGAGAATTACACTTTCAGCCTGTTCCCGCCTGGATGAATTATATAGAGTTGAATATTTTGATAAAAATAATTCTTCTAAAGAAATTCTCCCCCAAATTTAATTTAATGATAAACTTACCTGCAGGTATGAAATACTTGATTACGTACAATAGGAAAATCATTGGGATAAAGCGCGCCATATTTGCTTGATTTGATGACAGAAGAAAACGATTCTGATGAAACCAGAAAATATTCGTGAGAAGACTAAATTTTTATCTCATTTATTTTCGGCGATCATTGACTGATTATCAATGAAATAGCAATATCGCAGTAACCTCTAATTAATAATAATCAAGGCAATGGCTCCGGGATTTCATGTTCAGACAAGAGAACAAATTGAAAAGCAACAGTTTTTATTGTTACTATCAACACTCATCCTTTGCAACTTCTCTCATTATCTTCCACCTTCCATCTTTCTCACTCTCTCTATTCCTATCTCTCTCTCTCACTCTCTCTCTCTCACTCTCTCTCTCGTTTTCTATTTCTCTCTCACTCTCTCCATCGACCTAAAAATAAGCGTAAGATATTTTTCTGTACATCTTGATGTTTCAGTGGAAGAATAAGACAATGTGAATTTTTCTTTATGAAGCCTTTTTTCCAGACTGTTTCTTTACCCAACTAGGAAATGACTCTTCTGAAATTCCCCACCCTTTTTATACTAAAATTAGCCCCCAGTATATGACTCGAGAGCCACTCTAGAGGGGGTTTACTGAATGAGGTGCGTCTGTGTGTTCGTCTGTGTGTGTGTGAATGTATAAAGAGGTAGTATAAAGTGAAAACATCTGTCTATATATCTGTTTACACTATTTACACTGTTCGGATTATTGTCCTCGTCTTTGCTGTCCTATTCACGACATTTCGGCCATTGTACGATCCGACCTTCTTCAGGATCTGTCTATATATTTGAGATGAGGTATCGTAACTATTTACATTGTTCTGATTATTGTCCTCATCTTCATTGTCATATTCACATCATTTCGGCCGTTGTACGCTCTGACCTTTTTCAGGAGTTTTACGTTGGAAATTCGAATCGTTTTTGTTCACTTTTGCTGTGGCCTGGTATTGAACTCACAACACTTTGAGTCAAGTGGATAAAAGCGTTGGTTGAATTAATCCAGATGATGGCCAGAGCGTACAACGGCCAAAACGTCGTGAATAGGACAATGAAGATAATCGTATAAATCGTTACGATACCTCATCTCAAAAATATAGACAGGTCCTGTAAACGGCTGAAATGTCGTGAATATGACAATGAAAATAAGAAAAAACGTCCGGACAATGTAAATAGTGTAAATAGAAGTGAAAAAATGCAGATAATGAGGTTAGTGAGGCTAGATAACAACTGATCCCTTGACTTGAAACTTTCAGATTGTAATGTTTAAGGAAGTTAACCATTTGGGAGTTTGTTATTCAAGAAAGTATTAGTTTTCGGAAAAAAAAGCTGAGTGGAATTTCCCCTTGGCAATTTCAATCGGGGGAAATGGCAGTGATTCGAGACTCTGTACATAATATGGCTTGTCCTAAAATGTCTCAATTAGTGGAACTAAAGAATAAATCTCATCTAGACACCGAAACATGTAAATAACAACTTGATTCTTTCTAATTTAGTGAGCACAAAAATACAAACGTATAATTTTGTTGGTATTAAATTGCCAAAAGTAATTTGATGAGAAAATGACAATTATCAATTAAATTTTCGTTGCTGAAATGTTCAATTCGACATAAAAATCAGAATTTTTTTTTTATTAGGATACATATATTTGTATATGTGTTTATAAACGGAAAGTTAGATTAAGTAAGTCAAAAAAGATAATTTGCACTTATTTTTAATGTCAAAAATAATAACTAAAAGCAGCTTATAGGGAAATCTATGATAATAATATTAAGAACAATAGGTGAAAAGCAAAGAGTGATCAATAGAGTGAATGTTTCATAAAAGCTTTCTAGATATAAGCTTTTATAGAAACACACAAAACTAAGAGAAACATAACATCGATCGACTTTAAAGCCTTTAATAAATGTAAACGTTCAATATCAGAAAGGAAATATAAGCCAGATATTCAACACATACATTATCCATTAAAATGCACATTTCATTTACTGTAACACCTACCCTGATCCCACTGGATCGATGTACTCTACATGACCGGCCGTTGGTCTTGTCCTGGTCCAAGTATTACAGGTTCAGTCAAAGTCTCCGGTCCACAATGTTAATTCGATTCCACTTTCCAACCACGTTGCGATTTTTTTTATCCTGGAGAGCAATTAACAAATCGCAGATCCCGGGAGATTCAGCTGGTCTACTTGCAAGTTCATTTGGACGAGAATCAGGCCAAGCAGAAAAATCAAATATGAACAAGTCGATTCGAGTCCAAAGAAAAATTTATGTATATTTATATAAGGAAGAAATTGGTACAAAAAAAAAGTGCTTCTTTACAAGAAAGCAGTGAATATGAAATACAATCCAGAAAAAAAAACAAATATTACAAATAATTCTGAAAAGAGAGAAGTAGTTTTCGGGTTCACCCTTTTTGTTCTTAGTAGTTGCCGTAATTATTTCACTATTAGGATATAAGCGGGGGGTTCACTGGCAGTATTGCACCAATATTGCAGATAACTTGAGTTTACTTCCTCCTTTATTACAGCAGCAAGCGGACGCTTTCACTGTCACTGCCTATCTCTTTCTCTCACTCGACTTCTTGTCAACTCACTTCACACAGTTTGACTTCAACTCCGACTGTTTTTGCACAAACACACGCATAAGTAAACGCAGTGGTAGCGACAAAATCTCGAGATGATGTTAACATAGAATACAACCTGATTACTGACCTTTCTCCTTTCATGATTAAATGAACAGTCTCTTCTTCTCAATTGGTATTCCATAGTTTATATAAACACTATTGTTTTGACCTTTTATATTAATAATTCTGACGAAGCACAGATTCTCTGGGCACAAACTTCACCACAGATTATTTTTCTCATCTATAAAATAAAATTCTATATTATTATAATTATTAATATTTCAAGGGTAACCATTGTTCTCTGCCACATCTCTCTCTTACCCTTTTGTCTATTACTTGTAATTGACACATATACTCTGATGAGGATATTTTAAGAAAAAAATCATCTTCACTCATGCAATTGTCAATTATATCTTTCGCATGCAGCTATACTATTATCTCATTTCATTTTCTTTTCATCATACATTAATCTGACAGTTCAAAGTTCATAGCACAGTTCTTGATATTCAAAATAAAGAATAATAGTTATTCTTTTTAATATATATATATATATATATATATATATATATATATATATATATATATATATATATATACACTTCCATACACGCCTCACCTCAAGTAAAAGAAAACCTCAAAAATGTAGTCTGATTTAATCGATTTAAGGATTAAATTTATATTGTCAACAGTTCATGTAAAATCCATTAAGAACAAATAGTAATTACATTTATATTTTAATCATTCCTAAAGTTCTTAACACTCGTTACTAATTAATCATTCATTGTCGTTATTCGCTTCTTATCCTTTTTACCCTGCCTTCATATAAGAGAGGACTTGATGATCTCTGTAGCTGATTCGGGGTTTTCTCCAACTATTACTGATCTATCTGTAACTCAACAGTAGGTTCGATCACATTCAAATTGGATCTACTTTTATAAAGCACACTTAATAGAATCCCTCTTTCACTCGGGTAATTACTAGCCAGTTCGCTCCGTTCGCTTGACAACTTCGCTCGTTTCTTCAACCACCACCAGGTTACTGCTACTACTAAAATAATCAATAAGAATCCCAAAACGGTCGGCCAAACTATCATAGCATTCATATTTTCTGTCCCAATCGGACTAGTTCTTCCCATTAGGCTTAATTTAGATATCAACTCTTCTAGGTTAATTTTTTTGAGGAGCTTTATAAGGCATTCTCTTTAAAGAAACCTCAAGGAATTCCTTTATTATAGGTTCCCATAATTCATAATTCTGTCCATTTATTCGCGTTGGTTAGCATTAATTTCAAGAAGGAATCTTTTTCTTCGAATTTTTCTTCTGCTTGGTAATAAGGGGGAGTGACAACGAGGGTCCATGGGATCTACATCTCATTGGTAATTCTACAATAAATAACGATGGCTCCACTTTTATAATTCTAGTTGTCTATTCTTCACAGACTTTCGATAATTCTAATTCCCTTTGGATGGTTATCGCCCAAATTCCATCTGATAGGCTAATTGCTGGAGGTAATATAACACTTGTTAATACATCTATTTGATAATTCTTCTTAATCCCCCTTTTATCTTTCTTAAATAATTCAAGTACACACAGATCATGTCTACCAGTCACATAAATTGGATTTGCAGATACACAGGTGTCTAAAGTATCTACTTTAAATCTGTTTGCTTCTTCACCCGTTAACAACATAACTTTTGTTCTGGCCAAATTCAAGGCTAAGTCCAGCCTATATGATTTATTTTCCACAAACTAAAACGGTAAGGAAGATTAGATGCATCAGATTTACAGATTCCTTTGAGCGAGAGGAGGAACCCGAAGAAAAGAACATTAACTGCGAGGAACTAGTCCAACCCGAACTAGTATGACCTAATTATGGGCGTATAAGTAGAAAAATCGTTCAAAATCCATAATCAGAGGAAGGTATTATACCAGATGATGTAGACGAGGAAAAATCGGATGCATAACTTGAGTTAAAAGTAAATACAACTGATGAGGGGGGACATATTCCGCGTTATCCGACAAGAAATAGAAGAAAGCCAGACTATTTTGGAATGGGTCAATGTAATATCTGTGACATTGACTGTTGTTATTCGGTACAATGTATCCCAAAGAACTATCACGAAGCCATACATTCTGTCAATTCCAAACGGTGGATAGCTGCCATGCAAAAAGAAATTAAATCTTTAGTATCAAACGACACTTTTGAATTAAAAAAGGCCCCGCATGATAAAAATATTATCGGCAGCCGTTGGGTTTATACTGTAAAGCGAACTGAGGATGGATCGCCAGTGTACAAGGCTCGTTTTGTAGCTAAAGGATTTTCGCAGATATACGGGGAAGATTATGTAGAAACATTCAGTCCAACAACAAACATGACAACAATTAGAATTTTGATGCAAATGGCCGCACATTATGGTATGGATATACACCATATGGATGTTAAAGCAGCTTATTTGAACGCTGCCATCGACTATGAAATATACATAGAACCAGCAGAATGTTTTGAAGAAGGTGATAATTATGTATGGAAACTTAAAAAGTTGGACTCAAACAGAGCGGAAGAACATGGAATAAATTAATCCATTCTTATTTAATAGAACAGCAATTTCAATCCTCCCAAGTTGACCCATGTCTATACACGAGAACATTTAATAATGAAATATTAGAAATTCTGGTTATTTAGGTCGACGATATGTTAATTGCATCAAAGTGTGAGGCCGCTCTATTAAAATCAAAAATTCCCTAGAAATAAGGTTTAAAATGACCAACTTGGGTCGACTATCATGGTTTCTTGGTATACAGTTCGAATTTAACGGCAACACTATTAGAATGAATCAATCTAGATACATCGAAAGGCTCTTATCTAAATTCAGCATGCAAAATTAAAAAACAAGAACTACTCCATGTGAAATGGATTTAAACACAATTATGAATAATGAAGATGGTATAGCGGCGTGTGAGAAAGAATACAGAACATTGGTCAGAAGTCTTATTTACGTGAAGACATCAACCAGGCCAGATATCTGCTATACGGTTACTAAGTTGTCCCAACACTTAAATAAACCGGAGACTGTGCATTTAACAAGAGCTAAACAAGTATTACGTTATCTAAATGGGACTAAGAGTCAGTGCCTAATATTTCGACAATCAGATAAACCCTTAAAATTGGAAGGATTTTGTGATGCTGATTGGGCAAACTCACCAGATCGTAAGAGTATAACAGGCTATTGCTTTAAGCTAGCAGACGGTAACCCAATAATCAGCTGGAAATCGAAGAAACAGGGAATGAATTCACTTTCTACTTGTGTAGCTGAATATATTGCATTGTCAAAAGCAACACAAGAGGCTATTTTTCTTAAATTACTAATAAAAACAATTACAAAACTGGTAATAACTGAGCCAATAATTATTTACTGCGACAATCAGGCCAGTATCGCTTTGGCTAGAAATCCAATAATACATCAAAGATCAAAGCATATCGATATTAAATATCAGTTTGTTAGGGACCAAGTACAAAAGAAGACCGTACAAATTGAATACATTCAATCAGAAAATAATATAGCAGATTTATTACGAAATAGAAATTAAAGGCTTTCACTTCTGCCATATTTGGTACTGACTTCTTAGGTCCTTATTAGTCCTGGGCAAGACGTAAAACTGCATCCATTAAGTCCCTCTGAGGTCCTTATTAGTCCTGGGCAAGACATAAAACTGCATCCATTAAGTCCCTCTTAGGTCCTTATTAGTCCTGGGCAAGACGTAAAACTGCATCCATTAAGTCCCTCTGAGGTCCTTATTAGTCCTGGGCAAGACGTAAAACTGCATCCATTAAGTCCCTCTTAGGTCCTTATTAGTCCTGGGCAAGACGTAAAACTGCATCCATTAAGTCCCTCTTAGGTCCTTATTAGTCCTGGGCAAGACATAAAACTGCATCCATTAAGTCCCTGTTAGGTCCTTATTAGTCCTGGGCAAGACATAAAACTGCATCCATTAAGTCCCTCTGAGGTCCTTATTAGTCCTGGGCAAGACATAAAACTGCATCCATTAAGTCCCTCTGAGGTCCTTATTAGTCCTGGGCAAGACATAAACTGCATCCATTAAGTCCCTCTTAGGTCCTTATTAGTCCTGGGCAAGACGTAAAAACTGCATCCATTAAGTCCCTCTTAGGTCCTTATTAGTCCTGGGCAAGACGTAAAACTGCATCCATTAAGTCCCTCTTAGGTCCTTATTAGTCCTGGGCAAGACATAAAACTGCATCCATTAAGTCCCTCTGAGGTCCTTATTAGTCCTGGGCAAGACATAAAACTGCATCCATTAAGTCCCTCTTAGGTCCTTATTAGTCCTGGGCAAGACGTAAAACTGCATCCATTAAGTCCCTCTGAGGTCCTTATTAGTCCTGGGCAAGACATAAAACTGCATCCATTAAGTCCCTCTTAGGTCCTTATTAGTCCTGGGCAAGACGTAAACTGCATCCATTAAGTCCCTCTTAGGTCCTTATTAGTCCTGGGCAAGACATAAAACTGCATCCATTAAGTCCCTCTTAGGTCCTTATTAGTCCTGGGCAAGACATAAAACTGCATCCATTAAGTCCCTCTTAGGTCCTTATTAGTCCTGGGCAAGACGTAAACTGCATCCATTAAGTCCCTCTGAGGTCCTTATTAGTCCTGGGCAAGACATAAAACTGCATCCATTAAGTCCCTCTTAGGTCCTTATTAGTCCTGGGCAAGACGTAAAACTGCATCCATTAAGTCCCTCTGAGGTCCTTATTAGTCCTGGGCAAGACGTAAACTGCATCCATTAAGTCCCTCTTAGGTCCTTATTAGTCCTGGGCAAGACGTAAAACTGCATCCATTAAGTCCCTCTTAGGTCCTTATTAGTCCTGGGCAAGGCATAAAACTGCATCCATTAAGTCCCTGTTAGGTCCTTATTAGTCCTGGGCAAGACATAAAACTGCATCCATTAAGTCCCTCTGAGGTCCTTATTAGTCCTGGGCAAGACATAAAACTGCATCCATTAAGTCCCTCTGAGGTCCTTATTAGTCCTGGGCAAGACATAAAACTGCATCCATTAAGTCCCTCTTAGGTCCTTATTAGTCCTGGGCAAGACGTAAACTGCATCCATTAAGTCCCTCTTAGGTCCTTATTAGTCCTGGGCAAGACGTAAAACTGCATCCATTAAGTCCCTCTGAGGTCCTTATTAGTCCTGGGCAAGACATAAAACTGCATCCATTAAGTCCCTCTGAGGTCCTTATTAGTCCTGGGCAAGACATAAAACTGCATCCATTAAGTCCCTCTTAGGTCCTTATTAGTCCTGGGCAAGACGTAAAACTGCATCCATTAAGTCCTCTGAGGTCCTTATTAGTCCTGGGCAAGACATAAAACTGCATCCATTAAGTCCCTCTTAGGTCCTTATTAGTCCTGGGCAAGACGTAAAACTGCATCCATTAAGTCCCTGTTAGGTCCTTATTAGTCCTGGGCAAGACATAAAACTGCATCTATTAAGTCCCTCTTAGGTCCTTATTAGTCCTGGGCAAGACGTAAAACTGCATCCATTAAGTCCCTCTGAGGTCCTTATTAGTCCTGGGCAAGACGTAAACTGCATCCATTAAGTCCCTGTTAGGTCCTTATTAGTCCTGGGCAAGACGTAAACTGCATCCATTAAGTCCCTCTGAGGTCCTTATTAGTCCTGGGCAAGACATAAAACTGCATCCATTAAGTCCCTCTGAGGTCCTTATTAGTCCTGGGCAAGACATAAAACTGCATCCATTAAGTCCCTCTGAGGTCCTTATTAGTCCTGGGCAAGACGTAAAAAACTGCATCCATTAAGTCCCTCTTAGGTCCTTATTAGTCCTGGGCAAAACGTAAACTGCATCCATTAAGTCCCTCTTAGGTCCTTATTAGTCCTGGGCAAGACATAAAACTGCATCCATTAAGTCCCTCTGAGGTCCTTATTAGTCCTGGGCAAGACATAAAACTGCATCCATTAAGTCCCTCTTAGGTCCTTATTAGTCCTGGGCAAGACGTAAAACTGCATCCATTAAGTCCCTCTTAGGTCCTTATTAGTCCTGGGCAAGACGTAAAACTGCATCCATTGTCCCTCTGAGGTCCTTATTAGTCCTGGGCAAGACGTAAAACTGCATCCATTAAGTCCCTCTGAGGTCCTTATTAGTCCTGGGCAAGACATAAAACTGCATCCATTAAGTCCCTCTTAGGTCCTTATTAGTCCTGTTCAAGACGTAAAACTGCATCCATTAAGTCCCTCTGAGGTCCTTATTAGTCCTGTGCAAGACATAAAACTGCATCCATTAAGTCCCTCTTAGGTCCTTATTAGTCCTGGGCAAGACGTAAAACTGCATCCATTAAGTCCCTATTAGGTCCTTATTAGTCCTGGGCAAGACGTAAAACTGCATCCATTAAGTCCCTCTTAGGTCCTTATTAGTCCTGGGCAAGACGTAAAACTGCATCCATTAAGTCCCTCTTAGGTCCTTATTAGTCCTGGGCAAGACATAAAACTGCATCCATTAAGTGCCTCTTAGGTCCTTATTAGTCCTGGGCAAGACATAAAACTGCATCCATTAAGTCCCTCTGAGGTCCTTATTAGTCCTGGGCAAGACATAAAACTGCATCCATTAAGTCCCTCTTAGGTCCTTATTAGTCCTGGGCAAGACGTAAAACTGCATCCATTAAGTCCCTCTTAGGTCCTTATTAGTCCTGGGCAAGACGTAAAACTGCATCCATTAAGTCCCTCTTAGGTCCTTATTAGTCCTGGGTAAGACGTAAAACTGCATCCATTAAGTGCCTCTTAGGTCCTTATTAGTCCTGGGTAAGACGTAAAAACTGCATCTATTAAGTCCCTCTTAGGTCCTTATTAGTCCTGGGTAAGACGTAAAACTGCATCTATTAAGTCCCTCTTAGGTCCTTATTAGTCCTGGGCAAGACGTAAAACTGCATCCATTAAGTCTCTCTGAGGTCCTTATTAGTCCTGGGCAAGACGTAAAACTGCATCCATTAAGTCCCTCTTAGTTCCTTATTAGTCCTGGGCAAGACGTAAAACTGCATCCATTAAGTCCCTCTTAGGTCCTTATTAGTCCTGGGCAAGACGTAAAACTGCATCCATTAAGTCCCCCTGAGGTCCTTATTAGTCCTGGGCAAGACATAAAACTGCATCCATTAAGTCCCTCTGAGGTCCTTATTAGTCCTGGGTAAGACGTAAAACTGCATCCATTAAGTGCCTCTTAGGTCCTTATTAGTCCTGGGCAAGACGTAAAACTGCATCCATTAAGTCCCTCTTAGGTCCTTATTAGTCCTGGGCAAGACGTAAAACTGCATCCATTAAGTACCTCTGAAGTCCTTCTAAGTCCTGGGCAAGACGTAAAACTGCATCGATTAGTTATTATCTTAAGAAACGTCAGTTCAGTTTTTGGTATGAATGTGAGTCGTTGGTTTCGGGGTATAAATGTAAATAGTCCTACTTTTAACCCAATCCTCTTCTAATGACCCTCAGGATCACTCTGACCCGGAGTGATAGTGACTGTTTTAATGGGTCGTAGCTATGGGTAAAATAACAATTTTTTCCACTTTTTTGTTGTTGTGATCACAACCCAAATTTATAATATTATTGTTAATGTTTATTAACCTCAATACCTAACAGTGGACAAAGTGATATAACTAATTTTTGTGGATATTAACTTTAATAAAAAAAAAATAATACAAATAAAAAAAAGAAATAATAAAAAAAGAAAAAATACAAATAAAAGAAACAATTTTATTACATTATGAATTCTAAAAAAAAAATTTCTGAATACTAAAGTATTTGTTACATATTAATATTGACTTTACTAATATTTTGAAGGAAGATTCCATAATATACCCAAAATAAGGGGGCGGTTACAGTTTTTGTGTATATATATGTAACTAGTGAGTTAGCCCAAATGACTTGACTCACTTTATAGTCCACCAATGGAAGGTTAACCAATCAGAAGACGTAGAATATTCAATCCATCGTGTATAAAGGCGGCCATTTTGTTCACTCTACCCGAATGTCCAGTCCAGCTTGTCAGGCGAAGAGAAACAGAAGGACGAACTACGCTCTGCTACTTTTACCAAAATATCCACTGCTAGCCTGAAGAACGTTTTCCTACTGTCTTCAAAATATTCACTGCTAACCTTTGGATTATATACTCGAAGACGACCGTCATCATGAACAACAATTTCGGGGACCGTAGCTTCACCCTCCGTGATGTCCGCCCCAGTGGTACTCAGCTTACTTATTCTGGTGGTGTTCCTCAACTAGAGGCAAAGTTGAAGGACGAGAGTGACACTGAATCTCTACTGGCTGTCTCCGTGAACCACAATCGAGGGAAACCAAAATATGACCTACCTGGGGCACGCTCCTGTTGCTGTTCTACTGTTTTTGTAAATTATCCTTAAATTTTCAGACCAATAAAGTCCTTTTTTGGTCCTATTCAAAACCTGCAAGGGTTTTCTCTCCTTTCCTTTCATTTAATGTCCTTTGGGTATCTCATTGGTCGCGGTACCAATTGTAACACGTATGCTGACCACACTGGATCGATATACTCTACAAGACCTGTCGTTGGTCCTGTTCTGGTCCAGCATTACAGGTTCAGTCAAAGTCTCCGATTCACAATGTCGATTCAATTCCACTTTCCAGCCACGTTGTGATTTTTTGGATCCTGGAGAGCAATTAACAAATCGTAGATCTCGGAAGATTCAACTGGTCTACGCGCAAGTTTGTAGGGGCTTTTAGAAGAAAGTACTATATAAGAAATAAAGTCCAGAAAAAAAATATTGCAAATAATTCTGAAAAGAGAAAAGTAGTTTTCGGGTTCACCCTTTTTGTTCTTAGTAGTTGCCATAATTGTTTCACTATCAAGATATAATGATTTTCTGATAGAAAGTCCTACTATTTAATCCATAACTGTGGAAAGAAATACATGGATACCTTTCCAAAGCGTATTTACGCGTAAGTAAATTTAACGAACCCGACTGAAATTCAAATTCGGCTTTTCCGATTTCTCATTCCGTGACGTTATTCCTTACCTTCGCTCAGATATCCAAGCTTACACGATTCGTCGATTTCTTTTTTCCGAGTCACTAACCGTTACACTATCCGACGTCATTACACATGATTTAATTCCAGACAAACAAGATGCAGACCCAAACATTACTCTCTCTCTCTCTCAATATCACTCTCTCTTTATCTCACTCTCTTTCTCTCTCACTCTCACTCTCACTCCATTTCTTCTTCTTTCTTACTCTCTCTCACTCTCTCTCTCTCTCTCTCTCTCTCTCTCTCTCTCCTACATGTCTGTGACTTAAATCTATTTCAATTAGTGTGAAACCTATAATACACAACTATACAGATTCCATGTTCGTTTTCTTTTCTGGATACATTTCTCGTTACTGCATCAAGTTGTATTTCCTTTCTCTATCTGCACCCCTGACTGCAAAAGGGATATGCTTTTTGCAAATGGAATAGAACGAATTACATTTTTCTTCTTTTCATCACTGGCTTTTTAAACAAAAGAGTCTCTTTTTGACATGAATCCATTTCCGAAGACAGGTAACCATTTTACCGTAGAGATCGAATGTCGATCGAATATGGCCGACACATGAGTTCTTTTTTTTTTGTAAAGTTGAATAAGAACCAATGAAATATTATTACTAGATTTAACTATCATCATAGTTTTTTTTTAAATTTATTTCAACTCTCGTCTTCACTTTTAACTCAAAGATTCTATTGTCACCTTACCATATCCCACTTTTCACCTTAACATGCCCCACTTTTCACCTTACCATGTCTCACTTTTCACCTTACCATGCCCCACTTTTCACCTTACCGTGGCCCATTTTTCCCATCGGTCAAAAACTGCTGGCAACATTTGCAAAACAAAAACTGCAATTTATTATGGAGATTAAAGTTTATTTTTGATAAAATTTTACATAAAAATATTTTGCACATCTTACAATAAACCAACGATGAATATATGAAATTATAATGGAATTCACATCTTATGATTTTTAAATGTTTTACGAAAGAAGATAAATTTGTATGTAAAATTAATTTTAAAAATTGTAAACAATTAGATATTGCCAAAATATATTTTAAAGTCTGCGTGAAGGATTATCTGGACAAATAAGCATGTGTATTTTTTATTTTTATTTTTGTTGTTTTTGTTGTTGTCTTTTGTTTGTTTTAAGCTTTTCATGGATTTCCTTTGATGATTCGTTTGTAAGTAGCTATAACTTGACAAACCAGTATGGGAACATCACTTAAGATTAACAGACAAAAAGGAATGATAATAACAACAACAGCCACCATCCCAATGGTTTTTGATGAGGTACGTTCATCAGGAGAACTTATTTTCGAACGTTTGTAACTTGAAGTGTTTTTCTTGTCAATAACAATGTCTTTCAGGCTTTCTTTGAATTCTTCGACACTTATATTTTTCCGAGGAAATCGACATGGACAAAGACACATATTCATTCTTGCTGTTGTTGTGGCTACAAAGGAAAATTAACAAAAGTTTTAAATATAAAAGTCAAAATGTTAAATTTAAAACTGAAATGATTTACGATCGAACAAATGTTTTAGGAATAACTTAATTTATATTTAATTTTTTATTTTAATATTGATTATTTTCTGCGAGTGGAAATTTCTATGAAATAAGAAATTCTCTGAGATTTTAACTCATAAATTTGAGCCATTTTAACGCCATAGTAATACGCGAATTCTGCATATGACATGTGCTTTATTGTACAGAAATGGCCAAGTAATTTACTAATTATGAAATGGACAAAGTCTGACAATTATTTTAAGACATTTTTATGTTTATACATTCTTTTTATGTTTATACATTTCTTTTATAAAAAAATGATAAATTTAAACTTAAATATTTTTATCTATAAAAAGAATGTATAAACATTAAGCTCTCTAATTAAATGTCGATATAACCTCATCTGGTAATTTCTTCCAATAATTAGAATTTAATTTAGGACTAGTTATCAGTTTCTTAAATTTTTAAATGATATGAAATTTTTTGATAGTCACAAGAATTTCAAATTTATATTATTCTCGAATTATTTTTGTTTCCTTTGCTCTTTACCATTTGATTGACGATTGATATTATTCTTACGACCTTGTGATGCCATTATATCAAACAGATATAAAACCTGTCTTTTAACTGGTTCTTTCCACAAAGCTGGTATTGATGCATCCGTTCCAGAAAGGGAATACCAAGTTAAATCGATTTCATCTCTTTGGTTTTTGCCTGCATACTCGGCCGCTATAGCCCACAGGAATTACTTCTTCTAGCTGTACCACAGCGACTCGTTTGATTGCAAAAGACGGCTTTTTGTCTCTATTAGTGCAGAGTGCAAGTGGGTCCTCAAAGAATAGAAGTTACACTTTGCTGATAGAATGAAACAACGTATAGCATCGCGCAAGTTCTGTTCTAGAGATTATTGGAGAATCTGCAAAAGTTTACTGAAAAACAGCAAATTCTCAATCACTCTACTGTTGAATAAATTCGAATTACTAATATCGAAAGCAGATAAGATAGATTGCTTTGCTCGGAAATTTTTTTCCAACTCGACTCATTTGGAGGACAAAAGCTCTACTGAGTGATATCATGTCATTGGTCTCAGATATAATTTATAAATTAAACTGCCATAAGGCAAACGAAGGTGACGGGTTCCCAGCCGTTGTCCTAAAGAAATCGAACTGGTTTCAGTTCTTTGGACGAAAAACGAAAAAAACTATTGTTTCTGCTGATTTTCCTGCTTTCCAACTTGTTAAAAGTCCTCCTCTGTAGTTCTTGTTTTTGAAGAACTCTGGACAACATTCTTAGTGTCTCCTTAGTGTCATTGGTAAACCCTTTGAATCTATTAGAAACAAAATACGTTTGCTAACCACCTCAACAAAAAGAAACTCCTGTTTGACAAACAATATAGATTTTGAAACCTGATTGTCAACTGCTGATGTCATGGCTGTCATGAGGCAAACAGAATCCTCTCCTGCCCGCTAGGGGGATAAAAACATCAAATGGACGATCGTCTTAGATATTTTAACATTTTGCATTGCATCAGAGGCTGCGGTGGGTCTGTCGGCGCCAGGGTTTTCTACCAATTCTAAAAAAGTTTTCCACCTTCTTATTCGGGTAGAAAAACGACTTTTTTCCTTTTATTAACTGTCTACCCTTATAGACATTTTCACATCATTGTAATCTGACGTGTAACAATGAATGTCTTTTCTTCGTAGCTGGTAAATTTCAATCATTCTGACAAGGACGACAATTTTCTTCATCGTTGATGGGTGGTTTTAATTTCAATGAGCTTGTTCGGGTATCTTTTTCCTCCTTGACATCTGTTTTTATTTGTTCATCCCATGGCCTCAAGTGAAATTCATAAATACAATCCATCATGGGGGAAAAAGATGCTTGCTAAAAATGGACAAAATATTAATTTAAATCGCCCCAAAAATTACTAAACCCTTTTGACGCTCTCGGCTTTTTTAATCACGGTATTTGTCAACCAGTTTACCGTAAATGGAGAAATGTTGTCATGTCTGGATTTGATGTTTCTATTCGTGAACGAATAAAATATTTTACGATGCCATTTCTTTGATGAATTGATAACAAAAAAATCCAATTACCTCTTCCCATTAGACAAACCATCATCATCAGTGTGGCTTTTTTATTCTAATTCATGAAAATCGTTTCTGATGAGCCACGTTGGTTTGTTTCACCACACCTTTACACTTATGTACCCATCATATTTTTCCCAGGGTTGGGTGGGTCATTTGTTTCTTCAATTCCATTTGGTAAAAAGGAAATTTTTATTCAGACTATTCCTGAGCGGATGTGACCTGATCATTTTTGACATCTGTTAATGTCTTCAGGTCGAGCGTCAACTGTTATCTATTTTACATGGTTTCATAATCAGATTTATTTTTTGTTTTGTTGTTCTTTATTTTCTTTTCCTCCACCTCCTGAACTTCTTCTTCTTTTATTCTCAAAACTTCCAAATATTTTTCCTACCGCTTAATTTCAATTCCTTAATTTAGTAAAAAAACCATATATTTATGAATGATTAATTTTGGCCTCGTAACTATGCGTTAATTTTATATCAGAAAATTTGAAATTCAATTACAAATATAAAAAAAGAAAATTGTCTTTTGAACTTTTTTTTCCACAATGGAAAGAAATTAGGCTTTATATTTAAATATATTTTTATATAATATAAATTTTAATATTTTAAAGAATTGATACAATAAAGAATTGTTATTTACATTTATGTTCTAGTTTGATGAGATTTGGGATGTCAAAGACATTAGAATTATTAGTCGCTAGGTTGAAATTGAATCGAAAATCATTTTAAAACAAAATAAAAATATTATAAAGTTCTGTCCTAGAATTATTTAGGGTTACAGAAAATTTAATGACTGAGTTTGGTGTTGAAACTTTAGATTCAAAAAATAAAAAATTACTAATCCTGTCAGGAGATAAATATATTTATTTTGTTGATATCTTTCCAACTCTTCACTTTAAATGGACTTTGAATGACTGAGATAACCCCGTCACTGGTCTATATTCTGTAGATTCCATTATAAAAAAGAAATGGTGTCGAACTGATAATTGAACTTTTCTGCCAATTAACCATAACATTGACTTTTTCCTTTGTTCCAGATAAGAGTCAGGCAAATTGATGTCTGTTTTGAACGTACTCTGGAGAAAGCAGAGGTTAAGCATCGACCTATTTACAATTCCTGAACGTTTTCGGAAAACAATTAATGGATGTGACCACAGTTAAATTGTAGATATGTATTCCGACAGCGATGTCTGTCTTAAGACATATTTACAAACCCAGGAATTAGGTTCCATGTTAATAGCTGGCATTATAGTTGTAACGATTTTAAAAATAACAATTCGTAACTGAAACCTCCATAGAAGTGTTTTCCCAGATGAAAGTTTCCATTCCTATGGGAGATCCAGGGTTTTTTTTTTATTACGATTGATTGATTCAATCCATTGATTGTTATTAATTTTAATTATTAATAAAATTTAAAAAAATTATAAAACAGACTAAAATTAACATTTATAATAAGAAATAATGTTGGATAGAAATTGTTTTAATATATTATATATATATATATATATATATATATATATATATATTTATATGCCAGAGTGCAAATCCGTCAAGATTTATAATTAATATGGTCTCTGATTCAGACAACGTTATCCAATCCTTAAATTGAATCACCAACTTTACAGAATAATATTTGTTCCATGTAATTAATGGGGTAAATCTGGATAAAGTGCTTTGACAATGAAAGACAATATGTTGCAAAATAAAAAAAATTACCTTGTACCAAATCAATGTGTTATGATAAAGCTATAGACTTATTGAATTCTTTTTAATCAAACAATCCCTTCCCCATAGATAAACCGTCACAAGAATGCAGCTACTCTATTCTATCTTTATAAGTCTTAGGTCAGATCGAGTAATTGTTGTCATGTCTGGGCTGATGTTTCTATTCAGGAAGACTTCAAAAGCGTTTACGAGGCCTTGTGGGGGATGAATTCTTTTTAATTCAACAACCCTTTCCCCATAGATAAACCATCACAACCAGACATCTAGTCTATTCTAATTTCCATGAAGAATTTTCTGACGTAGCTACGTTCCTTAGTTCCACCACTTCAAACCTTTACAGCTATGACCCACCCAAGCCACTTCAACAGGGTCGAATCATCCTCGTTCTCCTCGTATTCTGTTGGTAAAGAGGAAGTTTCATTCAGACAGAGAATCGCTATTTCTGAGCAGATATTTCCCGATCACTATAATCTTAACCTCTTCAGGTCGTGGGTCAACTGTTATCTACCCTATATATAAATCAGACCTTGAGTTCTTTCTTCTTCTTCTTCTAATTCTGCAATCTTCTTCTTCTTCTTCTTCTTCTTCTAGACTACAACCCCCCTCCTCTTCTTCTTCTTCAACCTCTCAAACCTCCTCCTCCTCTTCTTCTTCTATCTCGGTTCAGGAAGTTTGCGTCCATCAAAACTTTATTTAGTAACCCTGTAAAATTTTATTAATTCTTAACAACCCCAGAATTACTGGGCGATAATTTTAGTCAAAAATTAAATTTATTACAAAACTGAAAAGACATTTTACCTTTCATCTTTTAAATGCTTTAGTGGAAAGAAATTAAATATATTATAAATATATTTTTATATAATATAATATTTTAATATTTTAAAGAATTGATACAATAAAGAATTGTTATTTACATTTATGTTCCGAGTTTGATGAGATTTGGGATGTCACCGCATTAAAATAATTAGGCGCTGTTGAAATTGAAAAGAAAAATCATTTTAAAACAAAATAAAAATATTATAACCTTTCATAGAACATTTATTACAGAAAATTCTAATGACTGAGTTTGGTGTTGAAACTTTAGATAAAACTTAAAAATTCTAATCCTGTCTGGCACAACATATTTTGATGTTGATATCTCAGAAGTCTTTACTTTAAATGCGTCTTTGAATCTTTTAGACGCCTGTTCACTATATTCCCTGTAGATTCATTATAACGATCCAATGGTGGCATGATAGTTGAACTTTTCTGCCAATCAACCATAACATTTTTTTATTTTTGCTTTGTTACAGATACGAGTCTGGCAAATTAATGCCTAACGTGAACGTACTCACAAAGCAGAGGTTTAGCACCGCGCCTATTGACACTTGCTGAACGTTTACAGAAAACAATTAATGAATGTGATCACAGTTAAAGTCCATGTAGATATGAATTTTCCGACAGCGATGCGTGTCTTGAGGCATGTTTACAAACCCAGCAATCAGGTTCCATGTTAATCATTCTAGTTCTTTATGGTATTCCAACGATTTTCAAAAAATAACATTTCGTTGGATTTTTCCCGATCACTATATATCTGTATCTATATATCTATCTATTATATATATATATATATATATATATATATATATATATATATATATATATATATATATACGAGAGTATCCCAAGAATTCTATTTCCAGATTCCGATAACGTCATAAGCTTAAATTGAATCAGCTTTCCCAGAATATTTGTTCTGTGGAATTAATGTAGTAAATCTGGGTTAGGTGCTTTGACAATGAAAGACAATATGTTGAAAAATAAACTTTTTTTCTTGTATCAAATTAATTTGTTATGATAAAGCTATGAAATTGTTACCCGATTATTTCCTTATCGAGATATTTTAATGGTTTTTATTTGTTTTAATAGATTTTAATGATTTTAATAGTTTTTAATATTTTTAATGGGTTATTTATAACGGAAAAGTTTCCCTTGTTTTTGTAAAAGACTATTTCTTAACGATCATTTATTTTTTAAATAACATCAGAGATAGAGATAAACATAGTAGACATGGGGAATGGAACGTTAATTTTTACAATATTTTATTATTAATAATAACCTTACAGATACACATTTTCCAAATGCCTTTCATAAGGATAGATTGTCATAATTGGCTCTCATGAGGAGAGATTGTCATAATTGATATCATAAGGAAAGATAGTCATGAATTACATTCATAAGGAGAGATTGTCATAAGTGGAGACTTATACTTGCCTTTCATAAGGAGAGATTGCCATAACTGGCTATCATAAGGATAGATTGTTATTATTTCGAATCGGTAAATATCACAGAAATATTTATAGTTTTTAAAAGAAGAAATTTCATACTTCTATGATCGTCACTTGCAAACAACAAGGTCGAAATCTATAATTCATTACGTACGAAAAATAATTGTTAATCCCATTTTGGTTGATGAACATTCTATGAATATTATAGAACCATTGTACATAGCGCAATTTCTGAAAAAAAAAAACAAATATACAAATTGTTGTTTCAGACGTCAATTATTAGAAGTCATTTATTTCAAATGATTCAATATTGTAAAAATGTTTAATTTCGATGAATGTCTTTAAATAAACAACTTATTTAAAACCGAAACAAAATACAAAATCATTTAAATGAAGACATTTATGATTATTATATTATTATAAATTATAATTTTTCATTGTATATTTTTAACATATGGTATATTAATACAGATACACACACAAATCGGAGAAGGGGCGTTTATATATATAGTCGATGATGACATAGGAAGAAACACTGCAGAATGACTGTCAGTTTCATTTGCTCTGAAGACTGAAACGGTGATTGAAACGTAAAACTCATCATATGCTGTTGATTCCTATGTTCGCATATACTCTCTCTCTCTCTCTCTCTCACAAAGACACACACATATATATAGATAGATATATATATATAGAGAGAGATAATATATATGGACGAACACTTAGAATGGTTGCTTTCCTGATGCCTATATATATATATATATAGGTCCAATGTGTGTGTGTGTTTTGTGTGTGTGTGTGTGTGCAACAGGGATTGGATCTGTGCCCTAGTGTCTGTGTGTGTGTGTGTGTATATGTGTATATTGAATAAATATAAACTCTGTGTGCATTGTGTGCTTGATGAAAAATAAAAATGAATTGAAAAATAAATGAATTGTTCCACTCTCTTTACAGTACGTGGTAAATATCAGTATTTAAATTTTAGAACAAAACTTTAGAATTTATGAACTCTTCCGTCGATTTAGGCGTAAGAGGATCCGGCAACCTCATTCAGTTTTTTGTTTGTGTGATATGTGACACTCCAGTCCCGCCAGTGACCTGCATACATGTCCACATATTGGGCAACAGCGAGGATCTCGTGACACAACCAGAGGAATATTGGTTGACGCTTTTCGCTGTTGCCTTTCGTCTCTTAGCTGGTCATTACGACTGATTTTGAAATTTCTGATACAACTCTGGCACAAATATCTCAAGTTATTTCTATCCAGGGCAACTAGCTCGACTTTAGTATGAGGGACGTTAACAGCTGACAGGTTACTCTTTAGCTTGTCTTTATACTTGAGCCACGACCGTCCAACAGTCCTTTGTCCACTGTCAAGCTGGCTATACATGAGGACCTTAGGTATTCTGTCGTCATTCATCGTTTCAACGTGACCAGTCCAGCGATATTGTTACTGCATCAGGAAAGTCTCAATTCCACGAATGTTGCGTTTTACGAGAAAATCTTCATTGTACATCCTATCGTCAAAAGTATAGCCGCAGATTGCGTGGAAACAATTCTTGTAGAAGACATTCAACTGATTGATATGGGAACTATATGGAACCCATGATACTGAGTCTTACGCTAGTGTGGTCAAAATGGCTGCTATCCAATATCCAATTTGTTACATCTCTCTTTCCATAGACGTGAAGAAGCTTCCCAAATGTAGTAGTATTTGTAGCTTTGATAATACGATTTGTTATTTCATCATCATTTCATGCATTTGTATGCATCTTACTTTCTAAATATATAAATGATTTCATATACATCAAGTTCTTCACATCAATTTGTATAAGAGGATCTCGGAAATGCTGAACGATTATATATATATATATATATATATATATATAAAGATATTTTGTAGGTACAAAATCTAATCATAGAAATAAAAGTGTAAAGCTTAATATTACTAGACATATTAAAAACGAAGCAACCGGTTTCGCTCCCGCTCTTCAGACTTCCACGGGAGATTTAACTTAAATTAAAAACATTAGGAAATGTGCAATGAAAAGGAAATGGGGAGGGAAAAAATGAACACAAGGAGCTAGAGACAAATAACAGCAAGCCTCAACAAACATTCACGCTGTTTACACAGGGAAGGTTTGCGGGAACCGATATAAAGTGCCTCCAGCACCTTGAGGTAAAATAAAGAGTTTGACCGGGACAGAACAGTGAACCAGTCACAATTAAATTAGCCACACACTCTCTGTTATTTAAGAGGTGCTATATTTTCTATATATATTTTTACACACATTGATAACTATTATATATATATATATATATATATATATATATATATATATATATATATATATATATGCGTGTGTGTGTAATGTTGATAATGATACGAAATGTAATTGAAAACCTCATTAAAAAATTATTTTTAGATAGTTGTTAGGTGTTATTTTTCTCGTGACATGAAATTATTCGAATTTCTAAGAAAAAGAAAAAACGAAAACTTATGTTTACAAGATTAGTTGTAAAATATTTACGTTAAAAAGATTAGTTGTAAAATATTTATTTAAAGATTACCTGTAAAATATTTGTTTATATAAGATTACCTGTAAAATATTCATGTTTAAAAGAATTAAGTGTAAAGTCTTAACTTTTCTGGTGATTTTACAATATTCAATAAATTCTTTTCATTTTCACTGACTAAACTTCCGTCAGTCCAATAAAGTTGACTATTCCTTTTGTACATTCCGAGCCAAATTCCTTCCGAAGCACAACTGAATAAAAAGAAAGCAAATGAGTTTGATAAATTAAATTAAAAAACAATATATACGAATTTTCAGAATATAATCAAGATACTGTATTACTGATAACCATTTTCAATCGACTAAAGAATAAAAAGAAAATGGTTTGATATTCTTTGATGATTGTAGAAACATAAATAAAATGAGTCAAAGGATTAGACCTGAGAAAAGCGAAGAAGCTTTCATTGAATTCGATATGAAAAATAAATTAGAATCTCATGTGAAAAATAAAGAACGTTAGTGTTTGAAATCCTTTATTTAAGTCCATGTGAAATGTAAACAATATTGCTAACCAATCTTTATATAAGGACAAATTCTCTCACTGATTAACACACAAAGTAGACTTAGTTTTTCTTTATATCAGATAAATATATTGCAATTGTTCACATTTTAAAACGGACTTAAGACAACATCATGTTGAAACACTACTTCCCGTAAGAGCAACGAAATTAAGCAATTTGGGGCCTGATCAATATCTAGATGGATGCCCGCTTGGAAATATTGGGAGCTGTGAAATAGGATGTGCGGGTGGTGTAATGGATAAGCGATAGGAATTGTTCATCGGAGAGCCGAGTTCCAATTCCCATTGGGTTCATTTTATTCACTGATGCATAAATGCAGTTAGGAAAGGCATGAATCTACTTTTTCTCCCAGCTATGGGTTAAATAGTAACACTTGTATTACTAACTCATTATTACAATTAAAAAAATATTTTTTTATGTCTTCCAAACTTTTCATAAAACGCAGAAAACGAATCAATCTGTCATTTCGCAAACAATCATTTCACACGTCAATCAACCAATCAATAATTTCACACGTCAATCAATCATTGAATCATTACATATGTCAAACAATCAATCAATAATTACACGTAAATCAATCAACCTTTTCATACGTTAATCAATCAATCATTTAATACATCAATCAATAATTTCTCCTGTCTATCACTCAATCAATCATTTCATACGTCAATTAATCAATGAAACATTTCAGACGTCAATCCAACTACCATCAGTCATTTTATGCGTCAATCGATTAATAATTCACACGTCAATAAATCAATCATTTCACACAATAATCAATCAATTATTTCACACGCTAATAAATCAATTATTTCACATGTCAATCAATCATTTCATACGTCAATCAATCGTTTCACACGTCAATCAATGAATCAAACATTTCGTATGTCAAACAACCAAGCATTTCATCCGTTAAACAATCAACCAATCATTTCATCTGTCGATCAATCATTTCATGTAAAAATCAATCACTCATTTTATACGTCAAACAATCAATCATTTCATGTTCAAACAATCAATCATTTCACCCGTCAATCAATCAAACATTCCATGCGTCAATCAATCAGTCAATCATTTCATCCTTTAATCAATCAATCAATCAATAATTTCACACGTCAATCAATCAACCAGACATTTCAAACTCAATAAATCAATCATTTCACAACTCAATCAATCATTTCATTTCATACGTCAATCAATAAATCCTTTCATACGTCAAACACTCAATCTATTATTTCAGACGTTAATCAGTCAGTCATTTCACACGTCAAACAATCAATCATTTCTTCCGTCAATCAATCATTTCATATGTCAAGCTGTTAATCTTTTTCACACCGCAATCAATCTATCGTTCCACAGGTCAAACACTTAATCAATCACATCATACGTCATTCAATCAATCGACGAATCACATATCCATCAATCAATCAATCATTTCACACATCAATTAAACAGTTATTACACATAACAATCATTCAATCACTTTAGCCGTCAATCAATCATTTTACACGTCAATCAATGAATCAATTATTACATTCATCAAACTCTCAATCATTTCAAACGTCATTCAGTAATTTCATACGCCAAGCTGTCAATCATTTCACATCTCAATCAATCTATAGTTCCAAACGTCAAACATTCAATCAGTTATATCATACGTCATTCAATGAATCACTGATTTTACACACCAATCAATCATTCAACACCTCAGTCAATGATCTCACACATCAATCAATCAATACTTCCACACGTCAATTAATCGATCATTTCACATGTCAATCAGACAATCAATAATTGCATATGTCAATCAATCAATCATTTCAAATAAGAACTTATGACTCTTCTTAAGGTTCTGTAGCAAAAGTAGGATTCTTTTTTATCATTTAACCCTATCTAGTTGATTTTCCCCAATTTCTTTTCATTAGTGTCGTACTTTCACTAAGTAAGCGCCATATATAACTAAACTTTTTTCAAGAATACTTTTGCTAATATAAAATTATAACATCAGTTTTCAGTTTCTCGAATTGCACAAAAATCCGATTAAAGAAATCAAAGGAAATTGAAAAAAGAAGAAAACGTTTCGATATTTACCAATTTAAGAAATGTTGCTTAATGATATCAAAAGATTTCTTCGTGTTAGGAATCAACCAAGAAGCGCTGTATAATGTCATTGGACCAACCAAAGTTAATGACGCTGGAAATATAGGAAATGAAAAATTATGAAATATTACCTTTATGACAGATTTAATTTTTTTTTCTTGACCTGAGATAAACGAAATATATAAGTTTCATTTCATTTTCTACACTCACAAGGGAAAATGCAAAGAATATTTCAAAGTTTCACATTTCTTTATACACTCCCAATATTTTAAAATTATAGGAACACTAAAAGATATCACTGAAGGAATAATGGACAGATGGTGAAGCTTTGCCAAATAATGGAAAAGAATTTGGTTCAATCTACAAAATCTTAAGAAACCTGAAAGTTCGCTGTTTCAGAATGATAAAGATCCAAATCAGATTGCAGTTAAAATGAGAAAGTGGTTAAATGCAAAGTAAATAAAGGTTTTAAAATAGTCAAGTCAGACATCTCACTTAAATCCCATAGAAAATCTATGCAAGGAGTTTAAAATTAGAGTTCATCAAAGAAATTGCAATAACTTAAGCAATCTGAAGACTATCTGTCCCCAAGAAAATAAAATTGGATTTCATTTCTAGCAGAAACATATTTGAAATTATTCTTAACGTATGATCGTCGTTATCACTCATAAAGGTTAGATTTAGATTGTTTAGAGATTCAATGTTTTTACTTTGTACATTTTTAATAAATTTCCCATCAATTTTTCTATAAACACATAAATTAATTTCTGATTAGATATACAATAACCTAAGTATATACTATGTTCAATTCAATTTTGGGGTTTGTAGCCACATTAGAAATTATGTTTTTTCTTTTTACCTTTAATTTTCATTGATCCATCATGTATCAGATCGTAATCTGTATGTCTTATAGACATTATGTTTGTTGGTTTTTTTTTAGTGTCTTGGCAATAACAATAAGTAATTAGACTTTCAATATTAAGAAATAGACAGTTAATAGCAACAAATAAAACATGAACTATCTCTAAGACAAGAAAATATATATACATTAGTGCCATTTCACCAATTTGTATTGCTTTTTAAAAGTATAATTTAATAATGGATTTGGGATTCCAACAATTCCAAATCGAGGTGTGTGTCTCAAGTTTCCGGTGTTGATCATTTAATTAGTATAGTGGATCAGACGCCAGTACAATAAAAACACTAAGTAACTCACTTAGGAAATTTCTTTACCTGCTGCCGGTGTGTGTTCGGCAATGTATTTTTGCCCGCTTACATCGATCTCTTTGTATATTGTGAGGCCATGAATGAAAAACTTTCTTCGGCATAGATTATAAAGTTACACGTTAACGTGGCCCAGAATTCACGGCCTCTTGGCATGAGACCATACATTGCTTCTATGGACCATAACACAGATTATTTCTTTCTATATATTTAATAAGTCTAGATAAAAAATATTTACATTAATAAATAAAGTAATATTCTGGCATTAGAAGCACATAAAATGAGTAAAATTCGATTAACATTGGTAAATTGGTAACAGAATAAAATAAATTTAAAATTGTAACATTTTCAGATTGTGGACTCTTCCACAACAAGCTAGTTAACCCCTGCTAGGAAATGCACTATTCCTGTTATAATTTTCACCATCACAATCTTACAAAATATATAACAAGCATTCATTGGTTAATCACCTTCAATCTAGCTTGCTGATTGGTCAGTTCCGACCAATCAAACCGCCTGCACGCGACAAATCTGTTTTCCCGCTCAATATGATTGGAGCCTCCCACGTGATACACGACCATTATATAAGCAGAACACGTGTAAACTCTGTTGTAGTTTTTTTTCTATCACTCCTTGCTACCAAGTACCAAGATGTAATCTTCAAGAATTCCCGTCTTAACTAATGTAGTCAGACGTTAAAGACCATTACCAACATTCACGCAAGTACGAACAATGAAATCGCTTCTGAACTTTTACCAACTTGTACAATACACAATTCCAAACGTGCTAAAGAAACTTTATTATTCTAAATTACAGTTTAATAATTACTTCCTTTTAATATGAACTTAGCTTCAACTATTACCTAATCAAAGGGACACGACTCTGTCCTACCTTTTCACTCAGTATTCATGCATGTATACCAAACACTAATAAATTCAATTGTTATGTTTTGAAACATGATGTTTATGAATTATTATTTCTCCTTTCTTGTCTAACGTCAAGAGTTTTTGATCTTCATAAATCAATAGGGAAAGAGGTTTTATTTGGAAAGTACATCTGGAGGTGGCCTTGCGCCAGCTTTATCTCCGGAGAGAGAAATAAACCAAATATGTTCTTCGCCCCTACAAGATAACATTTGTAAAAGTAATAAGAAACAGTAAATTCTTTGAATAAATTAAGTCTGTTAAATAAAATTCCTAATTTTTTTTATTTATTTTAGAAGTCATTTTACAATTCACGAGAGAAAAAATAACAATGCGGTTATTTTAACTTTGAAAGTTAAAATGAGTTATTTCCCTTGAATCAAGGAAAACACAGTTCTTACCCTTTAATAACTTTTACAATATGATGATTTGAGACAAACACAGACACAATATACAATAATTTCAAATAAAATAATATTGGATTTTTTAACTTTCGCTTTGGAATTTGCTGCATTTTAATAAACCAATGGAAAGAAACAAATGATAAATGGGAAGTAGATATTAAGAGAAATGGCGTTCGTTAGAACTTATGAATTATTATGTTATCTAATAATACTAAACAATTAATTTTAAAAAATTCAAAATATCCAGCAATCTCTGCACTTTCATTGAAATTGTCTCTGTTATAAATAGCAAAATGTTGAAATCTCGAAAATACGGTATTAAATAAAAAACAAATCTCCATTCAATTATTGTTTAAATTGTAACAATTCCTTCTCGAAAATGTATGACACCTTCAAAAACCTAAAAAGTATTTTCCCACGCACGTACGGAAGAAGTCAGGATTAAAGAATTAAATAACAGAGACATTTAGGCGCCATGACTTAAAGAACGCTACGGGGGCAGTTTCAGTCAAATAACAAAACCAGCAAATCAGAATTAAGGATTCAACGTTGGACAATCCAACGGAAGATCGTGAACCTAAAGTTTTGATCAAATTGAGCCTATCTCTACTGATATAAGCAGAGGAGATTAGAATTTTGACAGCAGTATAACGACAGTATAACTGGCAAATTTTCAAACTCGACAGAAATCTTGCTAGCCCTGAATTTTTTTCCGTAGAACCAACAAAACGTTCAAGTATTGTTTGTGACGTTACAGGCACTCTTCAACGTCTGAAAAATAACAACACGGAAAGCACGATACGGGTGCAGTACGGAAAATTGCTGATAGAAAACGTGGATAAAGTCGAAGATCTTCTTGCAATAATGCCTGAAAATTGTTGCGGACTGGTGATTGTGTTTAAATTGATCAGAAGGAATTTCGAGGCTGTGTTTTACAACATTCGTCCACAACAATTATTTAGAACAAATACTTGGAACAAATCATGCAAATAAAGTTGAAAACAAAACAAAAGTTGAATGCATAACAATAACATCAATTTATATACAATTTAAATACAGTGGGTTTAAGATTTGATGGATAAATGAGGATTAGTGTATTTAATTGTGTATTGTGTTGTTGTGAGTGTTTGGGTGCGTTTGCAGGTATTGATTAGATTTGTTCACAGAATTAAACTGTTTGTTTGATCAACGTACAAAAATGTTCGGTGTTGAGGTTGAATCGTCAGTGTATGTACGTAAGTGTGTTTATACAAATGTTCAAAGTTGTTCAGAGTTGCGTACCTTTATCTGTTTGAGAAAAATAAATTGTTAGTTTCTGATACTTGTTATGTAGTGAGAAATATCACTTTTAAAGTATAGCAAGTGAAGTTTGAGAAATTGTTCTCTAGAGAGAGAGTGTGTGTTTGTGGATTGTTGAGTCAGAGAATATTTTTCGCGCGGCAAAGTCTGAGTTTTGACTGGCGTGGAGTTGATGGGTTTCTCTCTAGGTGAAGAGGTCTGACTGGTGAATTGGACTGAAATTCGTCCTTTTATTTAGTTTGGGAAACCAAAATAGGCTCCCAGTGGCCTGGCAGGAAAACAGATTTTTGACCATGGATACTCATTCTAGGGTCGTCTCGACCAATAACAAACCGAGTTTCACAATGTGTGGTGTTGATTGGTCAAAGCTAATTCTTATAGAAGAGTCTATTTTTAACGGGGGTGAGTAGACAAACATTGACGATTCTATAAATACCCCCTCCAGATTAATGGTCAGCGTAGTTTGGACATTAATATGTATAAAATGTAGTATACTTTGCTGGCCAGTGAATGCGCCTGCCGGACCTGGTCCGTGTAGGTGGCTTAATTTGCGGTTCAGGCGTAGAAGATGGGTGTTTGTGTAAAGTCTCTGAAACTGGTGTTTGCTGAGTGGTCACAGCTTTGTCGTCATTTTTTATGTAAGCTGGTTTTAAGCGGTCAATGCTGACCGTAGTTTGCTTGCCGGCGAGATCTATAACGAAATATTTTGACGCTAGAGAAATAACCTGGTGCGGTCCAGTGTAGTTAGGCGTTAGTGGTTTACGGACCATATCTCGGCGTAGAAATACGAAATTGGCTGTATGCAGATCAGTTGGAATGTAATAAGGCCTGTGAAAAGCTCTGGTCGGCGTATAAATTGTTTCATACATTTTTTGTCGGAGGTCGCTGACAAACTGGCTAGTAGGTAGCTTGTCCGATACAGAGCCGAAAATCTGTCCTGGCAAGGTTAGGGGAGTCCCGAAAACCAATTCAGCACTAGTACAGTTCAGGTCCTGCTTGACAGTGTTTCTCAAAGCCAGCATGATCAGGGGAAGTTTATCAACCCGTTCGGCCGTTGGTAGAAGCAGTTATAGCATACTTAAGCTGTCGATGAAATCTTTCCACAAGGCCATTGGAACAAGAGTGATATGATGTAGTGGAAATGTGTTTAATCCCTAATAGATTAGGGAACTCATTAAAAAGTGATGATTGAAACTGTGGACCTCTATCGGTAGTGATTACTGAAGGGCATCCGAAAGTTGTAA